ACATAACTTGCTTTTCACTCAAAATTTATAAAGAATCTCATATTAGCAAAAATGCTTCATTCAGAATGAGTTCTATGGTACCCTACTTTGGTTATAAATCCCATCACTTCACGGAACTACAATTTTGGAATAACTCAATTTGCCAGTTTGGCATCATCATTTTTACTTGAGTAAAAGACAAAACACCTTCGCATTTATTAATTATTGTTCATTGAACAGGAGTTGGTTTGTTCCCCTTGAAAAAGTCAACTAATTTCCGATCAATAGCGATAATTATTTGTTTTTATTTTTTCATTTCTTTTTCAAAGTTTGAAATTTTGTTATTCATGATTTAAATTCAAGTCTCCGTAATACGTTTTTTTTTTTCATCATTTACATTCAAGTGACTTTAAAACACAATTTTCAGAATTAAACTTCCTACATATGGGTTCCCTCTTTTTTTGATACTTCTAATAAATTTATATTGGGAGATAATATAATCAGTATTTCTTTAGTATATATATATATATTGTATGTATATATACATATACTAGAGTCAATGTATTAAGTTCTGCCTACTAACACACTTTGTTCTATGTTATTTGTAACTAGTGTAATAGGACGAAGCTTCGTTCCACTGTTTTTAAGCTAAGAATAAGCAATTTGTCTCATGTTTGTGGGATTAAAAATCTTAGAATAAAATATGTGGTTCTGTAATCATTTTTATCGACCATGCCTCTCGTTTATAACGTTACTTAAAATGGTTTAAGTTTAGAGAAATAAATTGTTGTATAATGTCATATAATGATAATTTAGGAAAAAAATATTGTTAAAAGTCTTTTTATTATTCAGTGTTGAAGCAAAACCTAAATTTTCACTCTTTGTATTTCGAAAAAGGTACTGACATTCAAGTCCCCCGTCCAACTCTAGCTAGACTTTCCTTTAAACTCACCCGCTAAACAAGTTGTGTCGGGGTTGTGCACACGTGTTTTGAGTATTATTTACCGAAATTCAATGGTGCTAAAAACACATCTATAATTGTTAATCAAATGAAGAAGTTTTACAGATAAATTTTGCAGATCTGATATTAAAATGTTGACTAAGTGACCATCGTACTTAGCTAAAAAAAATTGTTTTCCCTTTCAAAAATTAATTCTTATTCCCTGACGAGAAATTTCAACACTTTTTCAATTTGACCAATATACACCAAACAACACGATATACACTCACTTCCAAAAGTTAAGCACGAAGAGGAATATGCTAATTTCCGGAAGCCAATCGGAATTGAAGAGGATGCAATTTACTGCGGAGGTAGATGGAAGTATGCAAATATGTTAGGTAACAGCCAATCACGCTTTCATGTCAAGAAATATGCAAGAAAGGCAGTCTTATAAGAAGCCAGCTTTATGAAGGGTTACAGAAGTTGATTGTAAGTGCTGATAGAAGGTGTTTAAAACTTTCATACAATTTGTTTTCAAGACATACATGTTTCTATGACTTCCAGAAGACAAATTGAAGATTCTGAGCGCTGGCGTGCTGTGGGGTGCATTAAAGCAGGACAGTCAATCCACAGATGTTGCTGTTTTCTTCAGCATTTATCATTCTGTAATTTCACGTTTATGGAAACAATTCCAAACCACACAGGCAGTTGTCCAAAGGCCCGTAGCTGGTCGCCCAAGGATTACAAGATTGATATATTGTTATTGTAGCCAAGCGGAATCGCAGAATGACCTCCACACATGTGACATCTATGGTTACAGCATCCATTGGTTAGGTGATATCTGCAGCTACTGTACGCTGAAGATTACATATGAGTGGACTGTACGCCCGGGTACCTCGAGTTTGTATTCCTCTATCTGTCCAATGAAGAGGGGCACAATTACAGTGGTGCCGGGAACATGTCAATTGGAATGTGTCTGACTGGGGTAATGTCATGTTTACTGATGAGTCAAGATTTACTGTAGAGCCAGATGACAAGTGTATAAGGATATGGTGTGAACAACGAACACACAATCAGTCCCAAAACATCACCAAACATGACGCATTCCAAGGCGAAAGCATTATGGTGTGGGACGGATTTCATTAGGATACCGCACCGACCTGTACATCTTGAAACGGGGTTCTTTGACTGCTGTCTGGTATCGAGATGAAGTCCTAGAACCCATTGTGAGATTGTACGCTGCAGCAGTTAGCCCTACTTTTGTTTTAATGATAGATAACGCATGTCCCCATAGAGTTGACATCGTCGATGACTACCTGGAGAGTAAAGGGATTGCGCGTATGGCGTGGCCAGTATATTCGCCCGACCTTGATCCCATTGAAAATCTTTGGGATGTTCTCGGCCATGCTGTATCATCATGTTTCCCAACTCCAGCCACTCTTATTGAGCTGGAAACTGCTCTACAATTCTGGCAAGCATCACCGCCTAAATTCTAAAAACTTTGTAAAGCAGTTTCCAGCTCAATAAGAATGGCAATTGCTTAATTCTGCGGTAGTTGACCACCTAATTAAAAGCATGGTCACAAGATGTAAACTTTGTATACAGATGAGGGGTGATTACATTAATTAATGTGCTTTTTTTTCATTTTATGCTGTTTATTTTCCCTTTATACATAAGTCTGTTTAATTCTCCGGTATGTCAACTTACAAAAATTGAATATTTTTTTCATTTATGTATATAATTATTGATTTTGTTTTATGCATAAATATATGTGCTACTTTCCTGCCGAATTTTGTGTCAATCAAAGCAGTATTTGTTGATTTTTTTGCATTTTACATCTTCGTGCTTAACTTTTGGAAGTGAGTATATATCAAACTATGCTAAATTACACAAGAATTAAAAGCCATATGGGATCTTTAAGAACTGGAACATGAATTTTACTGATAGGTGAAAAAAAATGACTTAAATAATTAACTTATGGAGAAGTCGAAAAATTTTGTAATTGATAGCAAGTTTAAATAATTATTGGGTACATATCAGCTAAGCGTCACTGTCAGCTTAATGTCCTGACAGCTAACTCTGTGTCTCCTAAATGTACTGTCGGCTAACTGTCCATGTCAGCTAAATGACCTGTCGGCTAAGTCTCGTGCACCCTAAAGCAACATATTACTTCCATAAATATTAAATGTTTTCTTCGAATTATGCTAACTGCAATGAGAATAAGCTCATTATGAAAATGAGCTCTTGTTAAGAAACAGTTAAATATAGGCCTCCATTTTCAATTTTGTGTTCATTCCACTTTTCAAATAAAAGGATGCTGTTACAAAATGTTATGGCTATGTATTATTTTTAAAGAAATAATAGAGCAAATATAAAAAGAAGTATATTGCAGCACTTAACACTCTATTGAGAATTCTAAAGATATGCTGCTTTTAAAAATATTGTGATTGTTAAGTAATTTATTTGTGAATCTGAGAAGCTATACTATGATTGATGCTATATTTTTAGATGGAAATACGAGAATGGGTATTTACATCAACACATACAGGTATCATTTCCCATGGTATGGGATAACAGAATAATAAAAAATGAATAGTGTTTGTAATCAATATTGAGCCATACAGTTTATAAATAAATTATATTCTATATAAAATTGATTATCGGGAAGTGTAACCTACTTAAAGTTCATTGCTATTCCACTTGTTCCACGTCTTAACATGGAATTAGCAGGAGGTCATATATGCATTTCAATACTATGTTAGCAAAATAGGTCAGAAACTGCTTGCTTTTTCAAATATGTATTCTGTATCTTAGTATGTATAACTTATAACAATGCAATAATGAAAAATGTCTAGGAAAAATGTCGAACTGACATTTTTCTTGTGTCCAGTGCAAAAAGGTAATTTTCCATCAAGATAATGCAAGACCACATGTGTCTGCATTCACCTGCTTGACTCTGTATGTACTTGAATAGCATCTTTTGCCACACCTACCATATAGCCTCGACATTGCTCCTTTGGACATCTGTCATTTTTCATACCCTGTAGCTATGTCTTGCTAGTGCTATCTTCCATTCTGCACAGGATGTCTGAAATGAAGTTGATCATTTTTGGACTTGCGGCCACCAAGTTCTGGGTGGAAGGCTTTGAAAAACTACTAAACGTTGGCAGAAAATCGTTTATTTGGTAGTGATTACTATCTGCTTTGAAGGTACTGCTTTCATGTCTCCCCCTCCCAACTTTATTAAGAATGGCGGGAAAACTTTTGTTACACCAGATATATTGCCAAATTAAAGGAACATATCTACAATTCCATTTGGATATGTAATCAAAACAAACCTTTGATACTTTTATCAGTTTTTCTTGCACAAAGGCAAAATAGAAAAGATTTCTACGTAACAAATATATTTTGTACATAAAAAATATAAAAATATGTTCATTAAAGTATAAAATTAAAAATTGATTTAGAATAAATTTGTGAAGATTTGCATTGCTAATGGTGTGCAAATCAGTCATTAAATCATGATTTGTAATCTAGCTCATAAAGCTAAACAAATGATTGGCTTCAAAATAGATTAAAATCTATGTTTTTGAATACGTCAAAGTGTATGTCTGCAGTTAATAAAGATTTATCAAAGTACTTTTATTTCATAGTGCATCATATCATATTCTCAAGACTGCAAAATGTTTTCCCAACATCTGGCAGCTTGACTTTTAAGGTTGTGTTTATGTTGTATATGGTCTATCAATTTGTGAAAAAAATGGCAGATCTTGATTTATAATTACCATTATAATATAGAAATAAATCTAACTTTAATTCTAATTTATTTAATTCATACTAATTTTATACCACAAGTTTATCAGCTGATTGAAATAAAGTTTAGTTCTTATTCATCGATTTCACTGTTATTTTTATGATGAATCATATTTTGGCATATTATGTAAATTATGAAGCTTCTAGCGAAAGATTTCTTGTCCCATCTGTTTTAAATTTATAGCGTATTAATAGTTTAAGTTTTTTTTTGTTTTGTTTTACTCAGAAGTTTATTAAATTAATTCATTTAATTTTTCTTTGATTATAGGACGTGTTTCTGCATTCACATCTGGTGCTGAAAATCCTCATTTTGTGGAACCAGTTAGCAGTGGAACTCGATATGCTCTGACTGTTTCATTTTCCTGTGATCCAGATTTCGGTATTGCTGATCCTAACATTGAAAAATTAAAATAAAAAATACAATTATTAATAACATTGCATGAAGCTCATTAAAAAACAGTAATTTGTGAATACTGAGAATACACATACAAGTTTTAATTTGTAACGAATGTTAGCATTTAACTTAAATCTGTAATTGGCACCACACGTAATTTCAACAGAAAAGGTTAACATATTCTGTTATTCAATTACTAATATAAAAAAATTGTTTAGGCATCACTGCAGGAGTCATTCATTATTCAAGTTGTCATATAAATAATGATTTGCCAAATTGACGTCAAGGATACAAAATATTAGTCGGTGTAAAATCAACAATTTCTATGTATAATGTTTCAGTTGGAGATGTATGTCAAGCAGATATGCAGCTACAGGGTCAAATTATTCATCACACAAATTTAAGCTAAAGTGATTATTTCTTCAATAATAAGGTATTTTATTTAGTGTCAAAGTGAGATTTTGAATTGAGGCTTTTTGCATGTTTTATTATGCAATCCAAAATCCCCTCCCAAAAAAATCCTAAAACAAATTGGTTGGTCGTGGCTTTGAGGTCCGGATTTTAGATCATTCCGGATCTCGGACTTTGTACTGTATATTACAAATATAAGATTACACATTAGTCAAGCTTATCTAAATAGAGAAGAAAACAAGGTTGTATATGTTTTTGCATCTAATGGTTCTGTGAGACTAAAGGTGCATCCAAGAGATAATAAGAGGTTTTGTAAACAATAACAACATTTATTTACAAGAAAATATACGAAAATTTCAATCAATTAGAGATATATTATTAGGCATCTCTGCCTTCCACGTCCTTACACCTTTAGTATCCTGCCTGCCACTGACTATTAGGACGAACGCAGCGCCCTCTAGTCAGAATGACGCTGGAAATACGTAATACTCCCCACCTGAACTCACTTGAGTTCACTTACCATTGAATTTCAACTAAATTTACATTCAGGAACCATTTAAAATTACAAGAATAAAAATATAAATAGCATATTATATCAAATACAAAGCTTCAAAATTATTCAGTGACTTAACATACAAAAACAAATTACACTTTTAACTTCCAAAGAAAATTGTTCAAATATCAAGCATTAAAATATAAGCACAATTAAACTATCATTAATACACAGATAGAACATTAACAGGTTGCAACTCAATTAAACTAACACAATTAAGGATTAATTTCCAAATTATACACAAGTTGTACTGAGCGTTTCATTTGTCCTTTAGGAGTCTGAATAAGAAGAGAACGAACTTTTCCATCTCTTCCTGGATATAGCTCTAAAATTTTTCCCATCATCCACATATTTCTAGGATAACGCTCATCATTAATCAAAACAATCAAAACACTTTAAATGAAACTATTTTACCTGGTTGTGGAGAAATATAAGCTGATCTTAAATTAAGTAAATAATCCTTTCTCCACCTGTTCCAAAAGTGATTCAAAAGTGTTTGCTGATATTTATATTTCTTTACCAAAGAATTCCTATTAACATTAAAATTTTCATTTTTATGCTTTATTACAGGTAAAGACACCAACCTTTTACCAATAAGAAAATGAGATGGGGTGAGTGGAGAGGGTTCTGAGGGTTCGTTGTACAGATACGTGATAGGCCTGGAATTAACCAGAGCTTCAATTTCCGAAAAAACAGTTTCCAATTCCTTCAAAGAGAGAGAGGATCGTCCAACAATTTTCTTTAAGCAGGTTTTAACCGTTCCGTATCTGTCTCTCCCAGAAACCTCCCCACCATGGACTTTTTTCAACTATAAATTTTCCAAACTATACCTTTAGAAGCAAACAAATTTTTAACTTGATCATTATCTATCTGATTCCACCATTTTTTCAATTCACTATTTGCTTTTTTAAAAGCTTTGGCGTTATCAGAATATATAGTGGAACATAATCCTCGACGAGAAACAAATCGTCGGAATCCTAACAAAAAGGAATCAGCACTTATGTTAAGAACTACTTCTAAGTGGATAGCTCTTGTCACTGCACAGCTGAATATAAGTAAATAACACTTTGAATTAAAATCACGAACAAAAAATGGTCCGGCAAAATCCACACCGCATACATCAAATGGTGGATGCTCTTGAATTCTATCAGGCGGTAAAGGGGCAACCACCTGCATTCCAGATACACTTTGAATCGTCTACAAATCAGACAGTTATTTAACACTTTTTTCACAAATTGACGACCTTTAACAATCCAGAATTGTTCTCGTAAATGTGTTAAAGTTGCATCAACACCTAAATGGCACATTTTAGTATGAGAATCACAGATAAGTAGTTCAACAAATTTATCATTAGATGGAAGAAGCCAAGGATGTTTGGCTCGCATATCGTTACTTGAAAACTGTAAACGTCCCTTTAAACAAAGTAAGTTATTATCATCAAGTTCAGGATTCAAATTAAATATGCGTGAACTCTTATCGATAGTTCCTTTAGAAAGAAGTTGGGTAACTTCTGTACTAGAATGCTTTAGTAGCTTTGATCCAAAAACGCAAAGCTTGCTCGAGTTCTGGAGCACATATAGGTCCATTTAATTTTGTAGAATTAGGTTTAGAATTGTGCACAAACCTTTTAATCCAAGCAGTAACACGCAGTAATCTACTTATTTCGCTGAAGTCATTAACGTCCAGTAACGACGACATAGGTAAGTTTCCATTAGCTGAACTGGTTACCATGGAATTAACCAGTGCAGTCCGTCGCTCTTTCACTATAACGCGTTCATCACAGATGTCATTAAAATGATGTAGCGATTCTTGAAGAGGCCACGAGTAAAGCGGTTTAGACAACCAAACAGGGCCTGACCACCACAGAGAACTTGTAAGAATCCTCCTAGCCGATTCTCCTCTAGTAGTAAGGTCTGCGGGATTGTCGGAGCCACTGCAATGGTTCCAACACTCTGGTAGAGTCAGCGACTGCACTTGAGCTACTCTGTTGGCGACAAATGGTTTCCATTGTTTAGAAGATCCTTTCAACCAATGAAGGACGATTTGAGAGTCGCTCCAAAAGAAAATTTGTTTCGCGAAATTAGGAAATAGACCTTGTAAATAATTTCCTAAACGTGCAGCGAGGAGTGCTGCCATTAACTCTAATCTTGCAAGAGTCAAAGTTTTTAAAGGAGCAACCTTTACTTTTTGACATTATAAAGCTCACTTTGATTTGGCCATTGTAATTCACGTACCTTAGGAACGCAACAGCCCCATATGCCTTGGGACTGGCGTCACAAAACACATGAAGAGAAACTTCACTTATTTCTACACTTTCAAAAAACCTTCTTTCAATAGATACTGATTCAAGTTCACAAAGTTCAGAACACCAGGTTCTCCATTTATTTTGTAGGTCACTTGGCAAATCTTCATCCCATTGTAGACCACGTTCCCACATCTCTTGCAGAAGAATTTTCACAGTGATTACAAAGGGACTAATCAGTCCACATGGATCAAATATCTTTGAAATAACTCTCAAAACGTGACGCTTGGTGATTCTAGCATCAATGGAATCCCTAACATCTCTTAAATCTAATTTAATTTTATCCTCAATCGGATCCCACTTCAATCCCAAGAAACCTGTTCCTTGCCCGAAGTCAGTATTTTCCTCATATCCGTTTTCATTCCAAAGTTTATACAATTCCGGACAATTAGTTTTTAATTTCCTCAAATGAAATCCCGCTGCTTTTAATATCTCTATTGCCGTAGACGTCAAATGATAAGCATCTTGAACGGTATTGGCTCCATAGCAGAGATCATCAACATAAAGAAAAGAATTTAACATGTCATAACATTTTGGATGATGTTCCTTAAATTTCTTAATGTGAAATTTCAAAACGCAAGCCAAGGAAAATGGCGAAGTAGTTAAACCGAATGGGAGACGATTTAAATGGAGAGTTTCGGTTGAATCACCTACCTCTTCGGGAAACCACAAAAATTTAAGGTATTTTCTATCTTCCTCCGCAATCTCTCTATCATAAGAAAAGCTTTCTCTAAATCTCCGCAAAATGCAACTTGATATTCTCGAAATTTAAGAATTATGTCCAATAAATTTGCATAAAGATTTACTCCTGATTCTAGAGACTCATTAAGAGATTTATTATTTTCATTAGCCTTACTGCTACAGTCATAAACAATTCTAACTCGAGTTGTTTCCTTGTCATCCCTAATTACCGCTCTGTGGGGCATATAATATCCTGAATTTTTATCTTCATTAACACATTTTCCCACAATCTGACATTCTAACTGATCCGATATAATTTGTTTATACTGGTCATAAATTTCTTGATTTTTATTTAGTTTGTGCTTTAACGAATCAAAACGCTTTTTTCGCAACCTCATAATTAGAATTCAACCCAACTGCAGGTCCCAAGTTTTCCTTCCACATCAATCTACAAACGTACCTTTCCCCATTAAATTCCAGAGAATTTTCAAATTTTTCAATCAATTGATTGTCCCATTCAGAAAAGTTTTGTTTGTCTGACTGAAATTCTTCTATTTCCCAAAATTTTTTCAAATCGCACAAAAATGGAAGAAGAGTCCATGACTAAACATACATTTTCATAATTATTAGTCAATTTATTACTTCCTTCCACTCCCGCTAGTAACCAACCGAAACAAGAATTTATCGCAGTAATGTTTTCATTTAACTTTACTCTCTCGTCATAAACAACATCCCAAAATGAATCGCATCCGATAAGTATTTCCGTCTGACAGTCGCCAGAAAATGAATCAGCCAAAGGTAAACCTCTTTCCTTCAACGCATTGCGAATAGATACATCAGGAATTTTCAAGGACAAATTAGATATATATTCCGTTATGACAGCTTCTAACTCGTACGATTTCGAACTTTGATCCCTATTGCGCAACGTCAATGAAACGATACCGTATTCCTTCTCACGTGCTATTTTGTCTCCGAAAGCAAAAATAGCTATTCTTTCGTAGCGTATTGGCTTTAATTTTAATTCTTTAACTAATCGAGATGAAATAAAACTTCGATGACTACCATTGTCTAAAATAACATTAGTTAAAACTGAA